TGCTGCCCCAGCTCCTCCACAGACTGAAAACCTTTTGTTGGGCGATTGTGTCCTGTGTTTCCATGAATCTAGATGGAGTAGCCGCCCAGCCAGAGCGGGCAGAGCCAGGCCAAGGCAAAGCCACTTCGTGGAAAGAGACACCCAGCTAGGACTCGGCATTTACACAGACAGCGACTTGGCAGCAGACCTCGCTGCCCTGGAGCTGCGGGCCTGGACCTGGATGTGGAGCCTGTTTTATACTCTCCTTGCCTCTGTCCCTCCTCCTCCTCCCGCAGGCCCTGCCTCCCCATCTCCGTGAGCCCCACGCGGCTCCCCGCCCGTGGCCTGGGCTGGGCTGGCAGTGCCACAGCCGAGCTGACCTGGCCAGCAGTGCCTCCGGCCTTTCAGAACTGAGCCCCGCCCCTCTCCTGCTTCTCCATCAGGGAGGCTGTAGGGGCAGGTGCCCAAGTAGCTAAGGTAGCAGATGTGACTGAAAAGGTGAGCTGAGTGGCTGGTGGTCTCGGGGGCAAGTGAAGTTGGGGGGCCAGCCCGCCATGGGGGGGAGGGGCTAGGGCCCAAGTCTTCAGGAGGGAATGCAGGGAGCCCACCTGGAGGGGCTGGGGGCAGGGAAGGGGTCTGAGGCTCTGGGCGATGGGGCACGTCAGGACTAATGCGGGTGGCACTGTGCTCACAGCTGCGGCCACCTTTGGGGGTGACTTCGTGAGTATAATAAAGAGGAGCTGACTGGACAAGGACTGTGTGTGGGGACAGGGTGGAGGATACAGGGTGTGTCCATGAGTGCCTGAGGGACGGGCCACAGTGGCCTGGGGGCCGTGGCAGGAGGAGGAGGACCGATCGGCTCCCCCAAAGCCAAGGGAGAGCTGTTCTCTCCAGCCTAGAGCCCAGTCGGGCGTCCGCTGGTCGGGGGTGGGGTCCTCTGGCCGGGCCGGGCTGGGGGACGTCCGGGAAGACTGGCTTTGACTCTCTGTTGCCAGAGGAGACGCCAGCCCAGGACGCATCCCTCACCCTCTGTGCACCAAGCTGTGCCAACTCCAAGGCAAACGCAGGTGCCTCCAGCAGGAGGGCTCCCTGAGGCCCGCAGAGCTGGGTGCGGTGCAGGGCCACACGGCCTCCTGGGTAGGTCAGTTACCTGGTCTGGAGGGATGGGGCGGGTCGGAGTCTCCCAGCCGGAGGTCTTGGCGGTTCCTGTGCTGGGATCCAGGTGGGCAGGGAACCAAGGGCACCTCCGAGCGGGTGGAGCCCCGGCTCCGGGGACGATGGAGAAGGAACCTGTAAGTCGCTAGGTCAGCACAAGCTTGCTGAGTGCCCGGGCCAACCCCAGGGCCCAGGCTCGGGTCCCTGAAGGGCCCGGGGTGAAGGGGGCCTGAGGACCGGAGGGCAAGTGGCCAGTCTGGGCGGCCCTGGGGCGGGCGACACCGCCCCCTCCCTCAGCTGCGTCAGGCTCGGCCTGGGAGTGGGATACAGGATGTGTGAGGGGAGCAGGGTGCGGAGCAGTGGGCGTGGCCGGGTCCTTGTGCCCCTAGATCAGCGGTTCTCAACCTGTGGGTCGCGACCCCTTTGGCGGTCGAACCACCCTTTCACGGGGATCGCCTAAGACCATCCTGCATATCAGATATTTACATTACGGTTCATAACAGTAGCAACATTACAGTTATGGCTGGGGGTCACCACAACATGAGGAACTGTGTTAAATGGTCGTGGCCTGAGGAAGGTTGAGAACCACTGCCCCAGAGGAAGAACTTGCCTCCTAGGCGGAAGGGGTGGCTTTGGAGGTTCAGGGAGGGTGAGCCCCCATCCCCCGTCCCTCCCGGCCAGCCCGGGGTCTGTACATAACTCACCCCGACCGCCTCTCCGCTCAGTGACCACCCCCGGGACCGAGCCAGCCACCCCGCCGCACAGACCGGTTGGGAGACTTCACGTTCGTTTTATTTCTCATTTTGTACAGACATTCTTTTCCAAGTCCTTTGACTGAAGTAACTTTTCTGGTGCTGTTGTTAACTTGTTCCTTCTTTTAATTTATTTCCCCTCCTGCCTCCCTCCGGCCTTCCTTCCCCTCACCTCATCCCATCTGAACCATCGCCTTTCTTTCCTGTCGGTTTTGGTTTCGAATAAATGATCCTCTCCACGCCTCGCCCTCCAGCCACCCTGCCCCCGATTTAATAGTCACGGCTACAAGTAACAATGCACTGTGAAGACCCCAGTATTAATAAAGTTGTACTGTAATTCACACCTGCCCGCCTGGCTTCCTGCCTTCCCACCCGCTCACCTGCCCGCGGCACCCCTACCCCCGCCCCTTCCTACTAGGGCCAGCCCCCTGGGGCAGGGCTGGAAGGAGTTCAGTCCCTCAAATGCCCACCTTTCTAGCCCCCGGCCAGGCTCTGGGAGACAGAACCCCAGGCCGGCCCTCCAGCCCCTCCCAGCCACACGCGGCACTGGGTGAGCAGGAGCAGGAGGGGAGAGACTCCCAAGTCCACCCTCCCAGACGCAAAGCAAAACAAAAACAAAACAAAGTGGGTGTTTAATAGAAAAAAATAAACTGGCAGAGAACCCACTGTGGCAAGATAACGGCGTTTGGCTCTGCCCTCTCCCCAGCCTGACTGAGTCCTGTGTCCGCCACACCCACCTGCCCACCGGGCACAGCTCCTGGGCAGTGCCAGGAGGGGCCGCGAGCTGTCTCGTCCGCCTCCAGGTGCCCCCAGGCCCCCACCACTCCCCGGGAGACCTTGTGAGGCACCAAGGGTGGGGGGCCGAGCCTTCCCCCCACCGGACACCCCCCAAAGGAAAAACACCCTCCCTGGGGCTCTCCCAAGGGGGGCGCCCCCACCACCCAGCGACCTCTCAGGCCCAGTCCAACTGTGGGAGCGCCTCCACTTCCCGGTGGGCAGGCCTCTGCCCTCGGAGCCTGGCGGCCTTGCAGTTTTTTTTTCCAGGGCTCCTTACAGCAGGAGCAGTGCAGCAGCTCCATGACCCGAAAGCAGTTGTCCAGCAGGGCTTTGGGCCGCACCAGCTTCAGGCTCAGCCGCCGGTCACTCGGGAGGGACAGCACAGCGTCCACCGGGGGGCTGAGCTTCACATCCTGGGAGGGAGGACACGGTTAGGCACCGGCCACAGGCCAGCACGGCTGTGGGGGCTGTCGCATCTGGAGCCGAACGCTGAGATCAGACGAGCCTTCCTGTGACCAGGAGGCCTGTGAGCAAGTCCTCTCCTTCCTCCCGGTGCCACATTTCTTCCTCTCCTTCCTCCCGGTGCCACATTTCTTCCTCTCCTTCCTCCCGGTGCCACGTTTCCTGGGGAGGGGGCACCCCTCAACGTCCCTCACCCAAGCACAACACACAGGCTTCTCTCTTCCCATCTCTGGGAAAATGACCATCCTACCCAGAGGCACCAAACAGCCACTGGAGAAGCCCCTAGGGCCCGAGCCAGTTTGGCTCAGTGTATAGAGCATCAGCCTGTGGATTGAAGGGTCCCGGGTTCGATTCTGGTCAAGGGCAGGTACCTCGGTTGCAGGCTCCCAGCGCTGGTCGGGGGCAGCAAGAAGCAACAAATCAATGTGTCTCTCTCACATCAGTGCTTCTCTCGTCTCTCCCTCTCCCCTCCACTCTCTGTGTAAACCAATGGGAAAAATATCCTCGGGTGAGGATTAAAAAAAAAAAAAAAAAAAAAAGGTCGCTGGGGCTCCCGGCCTTGGTCAGAATCTGGAGAGCTCCCCACAGTCACGCCGCAAACGCAGCTTCGGGCCCTAAGCCGGGATCGTCAGAAGCTCGCAGCGGCTGTTGGGTGTTCTGGCTGCGGAGCAGGTGGGGGTCCCTGAGGCAGGGGGTACCAGGGGAGCAAGGCCACAGGGGGGAGTGTGGAGGGGTCCCACTGCCTGCACGGGCACACACTCATCCAGTCACCTTCCCCTCCAGGCTCTGGGGGGGACACACACACTCAGGGCCTCAGGCTGAGCCGGCAGTTGCTAGGAACTGCTCTATTGTTGTTGCTGTTCACTGAGGTCCATCGTTTACGTTAAGGCTCACGCTCTGTGTTGTACGTTCTCTGAGCTCTAACAAATAAATGCATGATGTCACACGCTCACTTTACAGTATCGTACAGAAGCGTTTCGTCGCCCTGAACACGTCCTGTGCTGCGCCTCCCTCCTGCTCTCCCCCCAAAGGAACCTCGTTTCTCAGGTGCAGGGTTCAATGACTTACCCAAGACTGCAGAGCTCGACAGAGCCCGGAGCTGGGTCTCAGGCACACCTCCTGCCCCCCAGCCCAGCCCAGCCCAGCCCACCCACTGGTCATCACTGGCTCTCTCCTCGTCTTTCCCATTTCTCCCATACCCATCAGGACATGCTGGAACTTTCCAGGTGTTCACATCCTCCCTCAACAGCCCTTGGCCACCATACCCACCCATACATGCACATGCATGCAGGCAGGCACACAATCATGGACACACTCACACATGGATTCACACTCAGGCATACACACACATGCACACACAAGCACACACTTGCACATGCACGCCAAGCATGCAGGCACACCCACACACACGTAGGCAGGCACACACAACATGCATGCAGGCAGACACACATGCAGGCAGGCACGCCCACACGCACATATGCAGGCACACACGTGCATGCAGACACACACGTGCAGGCAGGCATACACATGCAGACAGCCACACACACATGCGTGCAGGCATAAACATGCAGACAGGCACACACATGCACACACTTGCACATGCACGCCCAGCATGCAGGCACACACGCATATGCATGCAGGCAGGCAGGCACACACATGCAGGCAGGCTCACACACATGCAGGCAGGCACACACATGCAGACATGCGGGCAGGCAGGCACACACATGCATGCAGGTAGGCACGTGCACACATGCAGGCAGGCACACACATGCAGGCAGGCACACATATGCATACATGCAGGCACACACACATATGCAGGCAGGCAGGCACACACATGCAGGCTCACACATGCAGGCAGGCACACACATGCAGACATGCGGGCAGGCAGGCACACACATGCATGCAGGTTGGCACGTACACACATGCATGCAGGCACACATATGCATACATGCAGGCACGCGCACACATGCAGGCAGGCAGGCACACACACACATGCAGGCAGGCACACACATGCATGCAGGCACACACACATATGCAGGCAGGCAGGCTCACACACATGCAGGCAAGTAGGCACGCGCACACATGCATGCAGGCAGGCACACGTACACTGCCCGCCCCCCTCCTGGCCCAGCTCACCCCGAGGGCCTGCTGGACGTCCACCAGCAGAGAGTGGATGTCCTTCAGGTACTTCCAGGACGGGTGGCCTTCGAGCAGCACCCCCTGCACGGCCTCGGTGGCGCCGAGACTCACCGAGACCCACAGGTGGCGCAGCTCCTGCTGGCTCACGCGGGCCCTCTGCTGTGGGGACGGGAGAAATCACTGAGACCCCAGACATGGGCCTCTGCGCCCCTCCCGCCCCGCTGGCACTGCCTCCCACTGTGGAC